CGTGCATTGAGCATGCTTTAATCCAGTCTGTGTCCGCTAACACACATATAGAAATAACGAAGGAGCATCAACCATTACGACTGATGTTGAGTTAGATAACTTTGTAAACTATTTCATTATTATTTACAGACCTTATTTACCACTCTTCGTCTATCTTAAACACCAGTTATTGACTAGTTTTGTAGCGATCACAAAATGTCATAAGGACATGAGTAGTGTCAACAAGATCTTATTATCTTAATAGCCATACATGACTTTGCTTAATCTAACTATACTGACGGTGAAACAAACACATTTAACAATCCAAACTGTAGACAAAACTTGATAGCATTCGTTACAGGAATGATTAATCCCACGATCGTAAACAAAACAATTAAGACGATAGATTACATTCTATGACAAATGAAATGTAGATACATAAACCTTATAAAAAATGAAAACAAAATATTCACTTTGAAAATAGGCGAGAACGAAAATAACTTAAAATTGTCGACCAATATATATATATATATATATATATATATATATATATATATATATCTGTAAACCGCAAGTAATCTTTAAAAATGCTGAAGAGGCGGCAAAAAAGAAATTACTACAAATGGTAGGGATATTACTTGAAAAACATGATCCGGATAAATGTGTAGAATGAATTACAAATATGTACAGAAGAATGCTGTTTACAATTTGACATTTTTTTACTAACAAGGATGCAATGTATCAAAGAAGATGAATGTAGAATAATTTAAATAGCAACAATAACAAATAAATAAAATTACTTTTTATGCAAAAATACTCTTGTTTACATAGACAATAAGAAAAACCGATGACACGGGATCATTCACCCGTCTTTTTTCTCTGGTACACATTAAGTTTGAAAAAAATCATAAGACGATATTTTATTTGTTAAACACATAAACACACACAGATAAGACGAACGTGTTTACAATATATGGAATTCTTGTAGTAGATTTATTTAAGAAAACAAACTGTTATTTTGCAGAAGAGAGAAAAAAAGAAGCTTATTTATCATATTGAAACAAGAAAAAAGAGGAAGTCAAGTAGCAACGAGCAAGATAGAAATTTGTCTATCAACTTTATAAATGTACTATTTAATACAATGAAATGGGATACATGTGTACTGTCAAATATACAGGAATCTAAAAATATAACGGAAGGAATAAAACTTCGACACACACGTATACACATGTAAAAATGACATTTGGTATGTTTCAAATAATAACCTTGAAACAAAAATGCATCAGAATTTAAAGAGGATCAACAGCTGTTGACCAATTCATAGAAAAATTTGAAATGGAGAAAAAAAAAGAAACCCCATAGTCTTCCTAATAAAGGCAAGTAATTATTCCTCCCACCCAAAAAAATCATAAGAATGATATACAGCTAAACAGAAAACATAGAGAAGAAATTCAATATGTTGCAAACCAATGAATAGGTAATTACTATACACAGTCAATAATAGATAGAATGGACCTATCAGACAGATAGAGAAATAAGCAAGCAAGATGTATACTATGGCTTTTACTAGAATACATATTTAGTATTAATGGAGGGAGAGAAGGATATGTAAACAAGTAGGATTGAGACAAATCACACAGGAACGAAAAAGTAACGTTATGATGTGGAAAACTACACACATACTCTCTCTGCAAGAGCTATTTAGCGAAAGCGATGTGATAATAAAGGTGATTAGAATATTAATAACATGTATATTATACAGATGAAAGACAATAACAATGAAAACACAGAGTACTAAAGGCATGAGTGTGTATGAGTAGATGTTCTCAAGCGATACAAACAAATATATGATAAATCTATGTCGAAATAAAGCAAAATTTGTAAAAGTGATCGACATAATGCTTATCTATCACAAGATGAGACTGTTTTATTGAAATATAATAAAATTTATAAGTAAGCATAAATAACATATAGATTTCTTTTCCTCCCCCTGAAATTAACTAATTTAGATAGAAATTAGTTTTAAGAACAAAATGAAATTGTACTATTTCATTATAGCAATTTACTCAAGAAAATAGAATGAATTAAACCGTGTACACGTACACTGTGAAAAATAAAGAAACTTTCTCATCATTTGCAATGATATTTTGTTTCAGTTAGTTTGTATTTATATCATCTCTTATATTGATCAAATCAGATGAGGATAAATTTATTAGACAAGAGTCAACAACTTTCAATTGACGTTTAATTAAATCATATAATTCATATTTATCCCGCATTGGTTTACGTTCAGTTTTTGTAGGTTTACGACCTAGAAAGATACACAAAAAGAAATAGAGAGAGAAACAAAAAGAGATGTATTGAAATGGAAATGAGTTTTTTTTGTTTTTAGATGTAAATGAAATAAATTAACATAAATACATTCAATTGATTAGTCATTCTTTAAAATTTCACAGTAAAATTAGGACATCATACCAAATGAGGTCGATAATTTGTTATGGCATAAACAAAAAGGATTTGTCAATTTTTAGATTTGATTTGACACAGAGCAAGTATAAAAATATGAATTCATTCTACGGTATCAATTCAATTCAGTCACTCATTTTCATTTGAAAAGATATTACACATTTTTAGAGAAAATATTTTTAATCGATTAACCACAACTTATTCGGTAATGATTTTATGCTTAACTGTGATGTACACATGTATGTTATTGTAGAACTATTACGAAGAACTAATTGGCCTGAAGTATCTCTTGATCCTAACTTACATGGCATAATCAACAATTCTGATTATGAATAGTTGAAATGGTTCAGCTTCATGCGTTATAAAGAAAATTAATCATATGAGACATCCATTGATATAAATTCAGAGAAAAATAATTAGATAACTGGATTAATGCTAATTCTACATCCTTTCTTTTACCCAACTATAGAATCTTGTATAGACTAGGTTACTTTCTATACGTATAGTGACAATCCTCAAGTTTGAACATCACTATTTACATAATCCGACTTATTTCTTTTAGATTTATGACTGAGTAAATAGTAGTTTATGTTGTAATCGTTTGAGCTATCGCATTGTTGATAGTTTGACTGAATTTTGATCAGTTTTAGATGGTATATGTGCATCCTATATGGATTGTCTCAATACAACTATTATAATTCACAAGTTTGTATAGAACAGAATTCTATACAAATGAGTAAGTTAATATTCTCATCAATACACTAACATTTGATAGGGATAAACAGAATAAAATTGTATGAGATTGCCCCCCAAGTGCCCTGGTACGGCCGAGAATGGGGAGAGTCCACTCTCCCTCTCGAAATACTCTCACATGGCCACGCGTATATAGCCTCTGCCAGGGAAGCCCTACTCATTGCCTTCTCGTGGCGAGGATGTTGTTTACGAAAATGAGAGGACGAAGAGCGAATGTCCGGCGCTTTAACCGGACCCCAAACCAAATCAATAGTGCACATGGGCTCCAGTATCCTGCGGGAACAAATGGCGTATGAACCAATTGTTGGTCACCGGCTTCCATCGGACTGCATCTCCTTACGATGCTCCACTGCCTTGCGGATCAGACCTTCAGGTCGAAGGCTCGGGGAGTGGCCCCCTAAGAAAACCACCTGCTTAGGTTTGGGCACCCGGGCAGTATCACAGCCCTCACACATATCGAATGAGATCTGTATGGCGCATATGTATTTGGTGCCTCCTTGAACCAATATCTATGTGTTAAAATAAATAAATAAATAAATGTATGAGATCAATCCGAACAAGTGAACATTCTTGAAAAAAAAAGAAATCATATCCATGTTATACCAACACAACAACTAGATTAAAAAGTATGTTATGCATTAAAATGTACATGATATCTTACTTGAAAAATAATCATGATAATATTTCAATTAGAGTATATAGACACTTTCAATACACTCTCTATAAACACCTTTTGTATATACACACAAAACAAAATTAATGTAACACATATTGTTTTAAATTAATTATAGTTTAATGTGGTTTCTATTCATTTAGAATTTATATAAGTAGCAATTTATGCAACTTATATAATAAGAGAAAAAGATATTTCAAATAAAGAAGAGGAAAAAAATTGTCATTTCACAAATGATAAAATCATTTTATCCTGTTTCACCTTTGTATTCTTACAAATAGCTTTAAATGAATATAAACATCTGAAAACAATGATTACATTTATCAATAGAGAGAGAGAGAGTGAGGTGTGCTGAGTAACATATGAATTTATTGGACAACAAATTACTACAAAGTGTGTCCTAGAAACAATACAATTTTAATTGTTTATTCGTTTGTTTTTCATAAAATACCTTTTCTGTATATAAGTAAAATGTTAGATACATACATGTATATTATTGTATAGTAAATAAAAATATTATTAATGTACCGTAAAATGTTATACATTGATTGATAGTTCTGTTTCTTGTATCGAAATTGTTGTATAAAAAAAGGAATAACAAACAATTAGTGTAACTAACCATGTGATGAGATTGCATAAACATGTAACTGGTCAACTGTTCAAAAGTATACACACATAATAATCATAATAATGTTTTTTAATGAATTAGCTGTTAACTAATTATAATTACTTTAATTGACAGATTTAGGTAATTTTTTTCTAAAAAAAAAGTTGGAAGTTTTACTGTTTCAAATGATAATAAAAGATATTTCTATGTATAATTTAGTATGTTTAAAATGATTGATATTCTTACTAGTGAATGAAAATATACAACCTTTGCAACTAAAGAGGAAAAATGTATTTGTAAAATCTCAGCGAATGAATTTTGAAGTAAATCCAACGTTCCGCCTGGCAACCTGGTCCAAGCTTTTTCAAGAAAATATAATAAAACATCAAATTTATCGAATATAAATAGGTACATGGTTCTCCGGTTTACTGTATACTGAATAAGTAATCCAATCAACGTTAACAATGTTTAAAGTAGGTATTTACACTACAACCTCTGCTTTCGCAATAATACGATATTACAGGGTATAATAAGTGTAGAAATAGAATTATAATGAAATAAGAATTGAATGTACATAAATAAGTAGGGAAAATGAACATCTAGTTATACATGGATTTTGCCAACAAAACAAAAGAGTAAACTTGTTTACAAAACAGTAATAATTATCAGTATTTTATCAATTAAAACATCATGAAATATGGAATATTAGTAACAGTAGTAAATTAGTTTGAAACTTTTGGTTATTTATTAAATACAAAATTATTAATGAAGAGTTAAAAAGAAATAAATTAAAGGGGAAGACGATAAAAATATTGAAATACGACAGAAAAACATCTCCCAGAAAAACAGATAGACAAGAATATAGAAAGGAGAATCTAGAAAAAACATGGGTATAGACCAACTTATCTGAATCACTAAACATTATTCAGGTATTACTATGAACAAACTAAATACTCACTAACTAAATATACATTGGTGCTACTGTCTTGATAGAATTATACTCTCAAAGCATATCCCATTTTATTGCCTGTCAACTATTTGTTCAAAGCTACAAAAATACATGATAATTTTTAGTTTACCTTCATATACAAATAAACATACAAAATGTTATCATCAGTCAGCAATAACAATTAGAAATCATCCTGTTTTATAAACAATATGTCACGCTCATAATAATAATAATAATAATAATAATAATAATAATAATAATAGAAGAGAGTTTGGATAAGATATCAAACTAAAAAGAATAGAACATTTTCGCTCAATTGACTTTAAGCATTACGTTTATTATTATTGATGTGACTATTTTCACTATCGGTAGGTAGTATCATGACAAATATAATTCTTTATGCATAATAAATCACTTTTTTCTTTCCTATCTTTCTTCGTTTCTTTTAATTACTTTCCCTTATAATATTGTGTATTTATCAACATGTTATTTGTATCCATCTATGCTCACCTTTATAAACACACATTTTTCATTTCCTGTACAAATATTAATTAATTAATTACTTATTATAGACCATCATTCATTAGATTGTTAGATACAAAACAAAATTTAATGAGAGATATATTTTATAGATCTAAACAATTAACGAATAATAATAACACACTAAGGATATACGCGTACTTTTGTAGGAAATCCATAGAAAACAAACTGATAGTAGATACATCAAGTGATAAATATTGCTTACATGAAAAGTCCTACAACTCTCTAATTTTCATTTTAAAACAGGAATATTAATATCACAAAAAATGATATAGGCAATGCAAATCAAGAAGCCAGACGAAGGCTAACAATTGCATTGGAAAGCTGATACTCAATGTTTGTGTCAACTCAATGGTTTAACTGAGAATTTTACTACCTCAACATTAATGATCTGAGTTTTAGACCTTTAGTAGTAGTTTAAATGATCGCCGATTTACGTAATACCTTTACTGTTTTTCCCATTAGATATTATGAATTACGTTTCTAATAATGATAAACGTTTATTGTTTTAGGTACCACTGCGTTTATTTAGTAATATCCAAAATAAATCTAGGAAATTAAACAAAAAAAATCTGAGAGAATTAACAATATATTCTGCAGTGAAATTAGCTATTTGGATAGTACCTAGACACCCTAGCTAAATAGAAATAAATAAGCGGTTTGAAAATATGAGCCCATAACTGATAGCTGAAAGTTCAAATTGCCAAGATGTTACTATTATTATTACCATTGTTATCATTACTACTATTGTTACCAAAGTATTACAAAACAGACAATACAAACAGATGACATAATTTCGTACTTGTTGACTTACTCCCCCTACTTATATGATTCCTTGGAAGACAGCTTTCTATTGGGACTAAGAAACATCCATCCGAAAGCTAGCTATTAGTGGTTAGATAATTATTACCAAGTATCGACATTTGTTCAAACTTTCATCCTTATTTTCTTTTTCAGTCTGAAAATGACAGAGGTTTTACAAAACAGATTGAAGAATACGATCAAGCAAACAAAAGCAACACACAGCAAAGTATTTTAATTTAATTTCAAGTTAGTCATACAAGTTTTCATAGAAACAATGTAATAATCATCATCACCTCAAAACTTTTAGAATGCTTGATAAAAAGTTGTTTGAAACTCAAGGTTTGTTCGACTTTAATCATTTAAGTGAACAACAATTAACATCATATAAGATATTGTTTAATAATACTTGTAAATATATAAATGATTGAAGTTAATAGTAATTTATAAATCATACCTAATACACGTTTGATACTATTCTCATATTCGACTAATTCAGTTTGAACAATATGCTTCTTTAATAGGACATTTTTCTTTTCATTATACAATTCCATAGGAGATAAGGAGCATAGTTGTTTACGATACCTGTAAATAGATGATACATAAAACAACTGTTCATAGAAAATTGATAAAAACAAAAACATATATAGTACATAAAACTAGATTGAACGAAGTAAAGTATCCTATGGTTGACATTTATTAATATACGCACAGAGCGAGTCAAGATTTCCAAAAATTTTTATTATACATATCAAAAGTTTTAAAGGTTGCATGAGAGGAATGACCAATTTCGCCTCCAAGTTGGATTTATTTGTAAACAAGAAAAAAAAGAAAAATGACAGTTCGGAATTTACTGCAAATAAAATTCAGTTCTTGATTCGAAACGAAATTCAAGTAAATGATAATGATTAAGTGACATGAGAGGTAGTTTTAATATATAATCAGATACAAACAATAGTGAATTGCTCGGTCGGATGATGTAGTGAAAATGAATGAAGAAAACACAAACACAAAATGAAAACAGAGCTAAGAAAGTCACACGGGAATATTAAAAAGCTATGCGATGATGATAAGACAGAAGATCATTGAGAAGGATGGTTTATATCCAAGCTCCATTCTACATTAAGTGACATAAGAATCGTCTTATGTATACATATATTAAGGTTGAGAATGTGGATTATCAAGGCCCTCGTGACTTGACCTCCATATCACTGAAACCAGTATGACCGGTTTGAATTGAGCAAATTTAATTAATTCTGAAAGACTGATTACATTTTGCGATGCAAACTTATTCAAATGTAATTAAAACACTGACACTTTAGATGTAATAGTCAGTGAGTATCAGATCATACTCAATTTAGATTATATATTGTGTAAACGGTAAATCCATTTTCTGTTTAAGGTTTAGGAAGTAAGCACATAACTGATAAATGAATTAGTTTTACACACAATTTTTCAGCCCTATACAGGTAATCTATTATTTGTTTTATCATTTGCTTGCATGAATGATTATTTCCAATTCTTTTTTGACTAAGTTAAAATGAATGACAATTAGTTTGATAGCGTATAAAGTTATACAATAAATAATACTATTCGGTTACATTTGACATTTTTATGTATTTCCTTAACGTTATTATAGTTTAGCATCATTTCTTTCATTCATTAACCATGAAGAACACTACAAGCCTATAAACAGTTTATTGACAAAAAAAATTTAAAATCTCATAGTAATGTTTTTTATTTGATCAAAAGTGACGGGTGAAACGTTACCAATATTGTAGTGTTTATATTTCAATAACTTAAACAGGATTAAAACAAAACTCTATACAATAATAATATTAATGGTCCTATAACTAATAGAGATAACAAGCACTCAAGTAAGCAATACAGTTCCCTTATTTAGTGGACATATTTGGATACTCCTACTGTGAATGAAGAACAAAATAAACACCCTCGTCCATCATGCGTACCAGAAAAACTCTGCAATAAGATATTGATCCCACTAGAATAAGGATAATAAAGATGTATAACTACTGTCTGCATAGATATGTTTAGTGTTGGTAGAATTAGGGATAAAAAGTAAACTAAGTCATTAGCCAAGCAGTAGAGGGACAACAATTTTAGGAGTGAGACAAAATAAGAGGAAATTCGGCAGGAAAAACACTAAGTTCAACTTCACACAAAATAAACTAAACAAATATAAACTTTAATGGATTTTGGAAATTTGAACATTCGCTCAACACTATAAAAACAAATTTCCGCACAATGCATTTTAAGGTCTTATTGAAATAAACAACATATACCATTCGAGCACCAAAGCACACACGCACGCACTGCATAGGAAAAAGATTAAAAAAATAGGAAAAAAGTACATCGGTCTAAATACATCTGAGGTCAGTCAACTGTAAATTTTCGATATTTGCTAGTTGGTTAGTTAAATGTAACGGTTATAATTCTCACAAAAATAATATTTATTTTGCCCCCAAATATTTTTTTAAAGAAGTTCAACACTAATAAGAACCCAATAGAACTGATGAACTTAAGTAAAATTGTTATAATGAACAATAATTTAAAATAAAACTCATTTCCTTCAGATACATTGTTTTTTCCACTTTAATGTACTTAGACTAAATGATGAATATTATTGTATTAGAATCTGTTAACACAGATTCATTGTGCTCAAGGACATTTTTATTGAAAAAAAAGAATAGGAGTATAAGATGTAAGTGTACTGGTAGACTTAATTAATATGGTGGTTTGTGTTTCATCTTAGCAGTAACAAAAGAGGAAAATGTACTTTTTTCGTTTAGTTTAGTGTTACATTTTCTTTCCTTTGTATTGAATAGTTCGCAAATTTTACGATCGTCGGTATCTGCATTCACTCTCTTCTCTTTACAACTAAATAGCACTTAACTAATTAAGATATAATCCCGATAAGATTAAAAAAATTGTACAGTTTAAATCTAAGGTCACTATCTCTCTCTGTGAAACAAATGTGAAAAATTCATGGGATACACTAATGAAGAAAACGGACAGATAAAGTTTATTCGAGACATTCAGTATCAAATGTCATTAGTTAAATTAAAAATTAAAAAGAACACTGGAAATTACTCAACTTATTCTAAACTAATGTGTCAAGAATAGATTAACTCAAATAGCTTAACTGTTTAATAGATCTATATTCACCCAGATAGATATGTCCGTAATAATAGCGATGATAATGGTAATTAATTGCACCGCCATTATGCGATATATTATCGATTGGTTTACTGACAAAACTAAATATGCATAAATTCGACAATAAATAATAACAACGAATACAGACAACTTATTATATTTCCTGTTTGTAGCTCGGCGAACCACTCGTTGACAATGCTTTTCGAACTACTATTAGTACTAGGAGAGGTCATCTCTGATTATCAGGACAAAGTGTTGTATCCTGTTGCTACATTATATTCAGTGGTAAATGTTAACTAGCAAATATTGACCAGAAAATGTTTTGAATTCAGTTTATTTGTAATCCTTGGGCCGATTTATTTTTTACTTTAATTCGATAACCAACTATTTCTGAATGTTAATCTGTAAATAATTCCCCCCAGTGTGTTCAAATCCAGATCAGATTATTGTCCAGCAATGCAAGCAACGTTATGACTATAACTATATGTTAAGACAGTATGTATTCCCCTCAAAAATTTGTTTTTGTTACATAATTATGAATGATAGATACAAGCGTGAATTTAAACAACGAATAAAGTTAGTGAAGACTAAAATATGTCAGCAAAACAATTAATTACGGATGTAAAAGAACCTGCTTTTAAATATGGTCTCTTCTATAAGCTAAAGAGTGGTAAAATTATGTAGCGCGAAAAGAACAACAAAATAACATCAGTCAAATGACTTATAGAATGGAAGAGTTGTAACTAACTATTCCAATTTTCCCCGATAATCTTCAGTGTTTTTGGGAACCAAACATAGAACCATGGGACCATACGTAGTGGAGATGATTTTTGAGCTGTTGAACAAAATTATGAGATCCATATGTTCCGCTAGAACTATTAACTCATCTTTCAACGTGATATTTTCGCTTAAGAAAAACACCAGACTGATCCAAAAAGATACAACTTATAATAAAAGCTTTAGAATGTATACCTCTAACTTAATTCGAAATTGGAATGTTGTGTATAAAAGTGAATACGTCCACGATAAGGCCTAACTGACCTTAAATTGGTTTTTCATATGTTAGTAAAAACACAGGATAAGAGAAAATAAGTATCTAATGTTCTTCATTTGTTCTCAGCATTTGACCATTATTGATTGACAACAAAAAGTAAAAAAAAGTGGTGAAAATTGTTATACAATATAAATCTACAAGTAAACAAGAATAAAACGTCTTACAGTTGAATGTTGTGGTCATCCGGTCTCATAAGTGATTTTCTATGGTTGGAATTAAATGGAAAACTTGAATTTTGATTGTTTTCAATTGTTACAAGATTATGATTTTCTGTTGATTGTAAATTACAATTTCTTTGCTTAACTTTAACTGGGAAGCTAGATTCTTTATTCTTATACACACTTTCAAATGTACTTGAATCAGAATCATAACCTATATTATGAATATTATCTTGTAAAAAGGTCGGAGATGTGATTGTTGGAGTGTTTAGAAATTCCATCAAATTATTTGAAACCGTTACATTTGGTTGTTTATCTGTAGATTGTTCATTAACATCAACTATGGAATCGTTATTGGGCACTTTTAAACGAGACAAATTCATTCCAAATGGGAATTCACTACAGACACCATTTCGAGAAGAAATAAGACGTTTAACCTGACGATAACGCTCATATATAGGTTTCATGATTCGTTTCGATCTAGGAGATTTCGGTCGTCCATAAAGACCTTCAAAATATAAGAGACTTTTTTGAATATCATATTTCTCTCGTTCAATCTGAAATATTCAAAAGAGAAAGCAGTTTTTAACAGGTGAACATATTTTTAATACCATGTTAGGCAACAAAAAGTAGTATTTTTGCTAGCAATCATGATAAATACAAATAAATAAAAGTGCTCTTGGAAATCACGTTTATATTTTAAAAGTACAACCAAATTAATCCTAATAAAATAAAAAATACTGGTCAGACTCATTATGTGAACGGTAAGAACAGTACACCAGACTAAAACAATAAACTCAAATTCACTTGATATTGTTTTATTTGAATCTTCCCATTGATGTTTTTGGACTGAAATCGATCAGTCTCTTGTTGGCATATGTGCATACTGTGCGTATGCCTCGATATTGCCTTAATTTACAAGCATTACAAGCAAGTGGCTATCAGGACTCAGTAGCTAAGTGGATAACGCGATGGCGTTTGAAGCGAACGGTACTGAGTTCGAGTCCCAGAGTGAACATCAACTCTGAGATGCAGGTACATCCAGCTGACGAGTCCCAAACAGGACGAAACGCGCGTCCTGGATTCCACTGCTAGCCACTATCCATCTTTGCTTACAATAAACTCAAAGTTTACACCAAAATAAAATAAAACCGATTAATCATTATATTAATCAGATATTAGTTAACACAGATAACCAACAGGAAGAGTAAGATTTACAGGACAAGGCTTTCCAATAGTTAAAAAAATGGACCTAAAGTTACATTGGCGATATTGTTAGTAAAAAGTTTTACATACCGTAATCAACGAAGTTTAGTTTGAAACGAAATAGGAAGCAAGAAGAGGAAAAAACATGTTTAAAATGATAATTATTAAGACTGGTTGGTATTTATATATTGAAGATGAAGTCATTATAAAGAATAGGGTGAAATCTCAAGTGATATTGATTGTATATAATTTGGCCTAATGTAAATCAGTTGTAAAACATATTAATTAGTATTAATTCAACTGACTAAAATAGTGGAAAACGTGAAGAACTTTAGTATTCTCTTAATTTTTAAAAATTAGGAAGTCTAAGTTCGACTTATGGTTTGAATCTTGTTCTAACAAAAACTTTTTAACACTAACTGTAAACGGTATCGACATTAAAAGATAGTTCATAAAACCTTACAAAATTGGTTTCGTTTATCAAGTTGATCTGAACAAAAACAAATGCGATAGGTAATTCGTTCTGTTTTCTGGCTTTTATCAGAATTTGTGATTTGATTAATCAACTGAAGAACTAGAAAATTTTATGTTAACAATGGTTAGAATAAATTATTTAGATCTGTTGTTATTATTCTGGAAAAGTTGTTTCACAAAATAATATTTGGAAAGATATTACTATCAAGTGATTCAATCCACCTATCCCCAAACGGTTGGAATATTGTTGTACAATATCGCTAAATTATTGAAGTTAGCTACATTAACCGCTGGATGCCGATCCAGTGGTTTAAAGGTCCATTATATTATAAATCTTGAAAGTCGTGAGGTTCTTCCCCGGTAGGATATTGGATGCTCACTGATGGAGAGTTCCGCACTAGGATGAAACAGCTGTCCAGTACTTCCTGCTTGTTATCAGTTGTTTGAATAAAGTCAGTCCGTGACATAAAGAATAAAAATTATTTAATTATATACTTCTGTCAAATAATTATTTAAAAACACTTGAAATGATAGAAGAAACGTGTCAAACACATCCAATATACCGAATTCAACGAGCGCATATAATTCCATTATTTATCAAATGACTTACTTGGTCCCAGTTCATTTCACTCAGTCGTTCAGGACGATTACAATATTCACGTTGTTTAGATAATGCAGCGCATAAAAGTTCATAGAATGACTCAATCGATATCAATGATGAATTTGATTGCTCTAATGATACATCATCAGCATTATCATCTTTATCGCCAACATTATGATTTTCAGAATTTTCATAAAAATCTCTTAAATCTTTCAACAAAGGTGATGAATATTTTCTTAAGAAAGAATGACATTTTCCTGAAGATGTGTGACTGTTTGATGAAAATGAATTTACTCGCCTAATAACTGAAATAACTGAAGGTGAAATCAAGTTAATATTTGGTTCATCTTTATTAGAAAATAATAAATTTTTCGATATTTTAACTGGAATAGTAGTTAAATTTTCTTTATCAATCAATTTGAATGTGGGTGATGTTTTTATGCTTGATAATTCATCCTACAATACATAAACCAAAAGTAATGGAAACAAAATAGAATATTAAGAAACAAGATAAGATTTTTGCATGAAAATGATTTAATATTTCTATGCAAGCAAATTGTAAACAGCTGAATAAACATTCTTATCGTATATACATTTGAAAGATAATTTATATGCTAATAAGGAATTATAAATGATACTAGTAATTATATTATTTACATGTGTTTATTGTTTGACATCATCTTGTATAAAAAAAGCCATACGAACAATGAATACTAGAAGTATAAAACCACAGAAGTTAACTGATATTATGACATATTTAATAAATTAAAAAAACGGATAAACCTTAACAGTAATAAGTATTATCTTTAAATATCATGATAAAACCACAGATAAATGAGTTTCGTTATTTTTTTGCTTTAGATAATCATTAATAGCTTCATATATGAAAGTTCCATTCACTAAATCTAGAAGGTGTTCTTCACAAAAAAGAAATGATAGGTTTTGATACGCGGATTAGTGAATATATATGACATCCACATACCAAAGTTGCGATGCTGAAAGAATGATGAACATAGGTTCGAGGATTTTTAACAAACGAATACTGAGTTAATTATCTCTGGTCATTGACTATGACTGCAATATAAACATCAACCTCTTCAGTCATTGTGAATTAGATGAAAGTTTTCAGACTTTAAGCCAACTAACTGTTTCAACCAGTATACCCGGGTAGTTTTACATAAAATGTGTTGAAAATTTATCCTTATCAACGCTGATTTTTTACTTCTCTATTCATCATTATTTTATTTAGCTATTCCTTTTTTAATCATAAATTAAATTAAGCCACTAGACAGTTGCGTTCCAAAAAATCCAAATAGAAAAAATCTTTAAATTTGGCAATTTTACATTTTTATCAGAAAGGGTTTCGTGGGGCTCTTTAGTTATTTTATAGCTGAATTCATGAGTCAATTGAAACTTACATTTGCACTAAAATCCAGGGCGGGAAACAGACGGCTATAATTACAACTCCGAAAAGTTTGGATGTTGATTTTCGCCACATTTCAGGGAAAAGTAGTTGCAGTTCAAGTGATAAATAGAGGTTTTACACCTGTTGATTAAAGGTTTACGTTTCACGCTAATTGATTGAGTACAACCCAACGACCAAATACAGGTTCGTCCTTGGCCTTCAGTATATATATAGGCCAAAAAGCAAATTATAATTTTCAATGAGCCACAGATATCCTGAATTTTAACTCGAACGGAAACGATAGTTATGTGATTAGATACGTACAGGTTAAATAACCCTAATTATTTCACCATGGAGAGAATAGTGGGTCGGTGTTCATTAACCCTCCTCATTATTTGTGTTAAAACTCTGTAACTTCTAACAGAATTCCCCAAGCGAACCAAGTCTATTAACGACAAAAGGATTTGTGATGTTGATATTATGTAGGAAAGTGAATACGTTATTTAAACAGATATTTATGTTAGAGTGTTTTAAAATGAGTCTTTGATAAAATTTGTTCTTTGAATAAAAATAAAGAGAATTCAGTGAAATTTTCTTTTCGACGAGATCATTTACTTAAGCTGTACATTCGTATTTATAGTTATATGGGAAATGAAATTTATTCTTGTAAAGTTATTGAGTTTTTATCGAAAATGAAGATAAGGTCTGAATATTTACTGACTTTAATATCAATAGTGAAAGCTAATTGAGATCAAGGAAAAATCCAGTCACTTTGTAATAACTTAGTAATAAAAATATCAGATCGAACATAACTTACCGTGGTTAAATGCTGTAACGATCTGTATTTCAGGTTTGTCCTTCGTGACAACTGGTTTTTGAAATACAATAAATCCGGTTCGCTGTAAATTCTATTTGATAAATTTAACAAACTTTTTAATCCTATTGTATCCAAGGTCTTTTTGAAATTTTGTATACTATCAGAGATGTAACTAGAATATTTTGCTGATCTTAAAAAATGATCTGATTTATTTAACTGAGCTCCATGGGATCTGGTATTTTCCCCATTTTTATTTGATATTGGGGATTGATCAAAAATTGAACACTGTGGTTTTATCCTCTGCTTTGTAATCATTTGATTCCTTTCAGGAGACTAAAGAAATGCAAATAAGCTTTTTTCGTTTTAAAAAGAAAACAAGACTACATTTTGTTAAAAAGAACAAATGAGGATGAGTGAAATATGGTGCAATGTTTTCTTGTTTATGCAAAGCTGCGTCTAAACATAGAATTTCGATTGATGAAAGAAATGTCACAAGTCATTGATTAAAAAACTGTGGTTTATCTATACTTTTATCTTTCACATTCTCATAGTTCTTCAGTCAGTCAGTCAGTAACAACGTAGAACTTCGTACGTACGTACATCAGTTCGAGTTGCCACACCACATTAGCACAGAGATGCAGTTGTCGATTCAAATCCCGTAGTGGTAGAGGTAATAAGAGTATAAGCAGTAATCGGGAAGATTAGGGTTTGGAGATGTTATTTAAAGAGTATAATCCAGTTCTTAGGATAATCCAATAAGTAAACGATTATAAAAATCTATCATAAATTTGAAACGATATAATTACGTGAATGAACTTGATAAAATAAAGTTGCATGTATATTTAGTCAACTGAGAATGTTCTGGGAAAAGTTGTGCATATCGTTCGGAAAATAAGATGTAATATTTCAAGACTTCAAATAGCAAACAGTCTCTCTCTTCGCTTTTATGCGTACAAATTACAACTTGACCACCTACCACTTCTTGAAAGCTGTTTTGTGAATCAGAGTGTTTAAACGAGTCTTGGACAGTATCTGCTACAAACAGGCTATCACATGATCAAACTAAGTATACAAATTTTTAATGCACAATGAGAAACATTTACCTAATACATGCGACCACATATTTTCATACCTAAATGTAATTTTTGTAACTTTCCAACAACAGTGATGAAACACAAATGAACTGGAAAAGGAGTACATAAAATAAGCATTGTTTCAGTTTATAATGGTATACCAAAGATTTCGAATTAAATGGAAGCGAACAGTTTTAGCTCAGAGATACAGGCTCTCGGTCATATTATCTAGCATCAAATGCCTATCAACAAGAATAATTTTTTACACGATAAAAACCAACAAACAATTACTTACTGGTTGGTGATATCTCTAATATGATTACATTATCAAAATATCTTAGGAAATAACGTATCATCGAACACTAATGTAATTTTGTACTACAAGAAATACAGACAGAAATTTTAAATGGGGTTATTCGTCATTATTCTTAAATTGATGGTCTGCTAGAAAAGACATAAAATTGAGAATACTACAATATTTGTGTCCATAATTTAGGATATAATACTGTAAGTTACACAGTTGTATTCTTCATAAACTCTGCTACATTAGGCAATAAAAAAGACTATTGGTAGTACTATAGATAGATAGATCAAATAGTCAACGGTGTCGGAAGTATTATTCAAGACTTAGGAGATATATAAGTAATCACAGTTGAATACACGAGTCGATCTAAGCTAGACCACTATTGAAAACTTAGAAGCACTGGACAGCCATTCCATCCTAGTATGAGAATACTCAACAGTGCACATCTGCGATCCCTCGCGTAGGACCCGAACCCAGGACATTCGGTATCGAGCGCGAATGCTTAACCTCTAGACCACTGAGCCGGTATCCAACGGTGTTAATGTCTAACTTCAATCGATCCATGATCTTACGCAATCCTCCTTGTCTGAGGTGGATAACTGTCTCACACGCGACATGTATTGGACTCACTAGGAAGATCGTTGATGCGTACTGATGAGAAGTTTCATGTTATGACGGAACGGTCATTAAGAGCCTCCAGGTTTCTACTGGTGGTCTAGCTTAGATCGACTCGTAAATTCAATTGTTTAAATACTATAGTCTCCTCTAATCCCTATCCTGATAATATACATAATCAACAGTTACGAATTTTCTCTCTGTAAGTTACTAAAATGTTTTACAGCTTACAGAAAGCCTCCCGAAGTTTGGAGCAGATTCGTTTAAGTGTTCATTGTTTGCTTTCGAAGAAAGGGGCAATAAATTAGGAGGGCATGATCCACGATCTTTAGGTTTATGAATAAAGGAATGAATTGGTTTAACGGTTACTGCACCAACAGAATTTGACTTTGATCTCAGAGTAATTGAAGCGGTATGACTAGATAATATCGGACTAGTTGGTGTACTATGATTGTATTCCTTTGTTTGATGGGTAGTATCATATTGAAGGGTTGCTAATTCGATAGACTTATTTTGCTCATTTCCAATTTCACTATTAGAACCATCTACATGATTATGGTTAGGATGAGAACGATCAAATACACAAACTGGTATTTCTGATTGATACAATAAAGTTGATATCGGCTTAACAAAACTTGAGACCGGATTTTTTTTCGCAGAAGCTGTAAGATCCATTTCATTTATTGAATAAGGAAAGCTGCTGGAGTGGCTGGGACAATCTAATCCCTAGAAGGAATATAAAGAAAAAAACAAGAATATGATGGTAAAACGGAAAATTCGAGCTACTGTGAAAAATATAATTTTGCGCTAACTTATCAGTTAAACCCCAACCGTTGTTGCTGCCATGACGTGGTGGTCGGGCTTGCCTATCGTGATGAAGCAACCGAGCTATACTGGCTGGAACAACCGTTCCTCAAGGTCCTACCATGTCAGACAGGTCGGTTGAAGAGCGGTAAGACTAAAAGCAACAAACCCAAGGTCCGAAGGCGAAGTCGTACTGCTGACTGTACAGAGGTGTGACAGCAGTAAGGTGTTTCCTTCAGACAACCAGCATGACAGCGATGCTGCCTTCCCACAAGGAGGGGTGGGGTTAGAAAAGGTCGACCCTAAAAATGCGCACCTCACCTTACCTCACGGATTTCCGTCTCCGGCGGTAAGGCCCTTTGAAGAACGGAGCTAACACATTAAAAACCTTCCATGAAAAGGCCGTGCGCGACCGGCCTCAAGCGGTTGTCCCTTGGGCACTGCGGTCACGCTCTCAGGTCACTGAGACCGCCTCTAATCCAATTTCCTTTTCAGGTACCTCCAGAACAACCCTTCCACGGTGTGGGCAACCGGGAAGTGATAACCGCCCTCATACCTCTAACAGCACCCAAGACCACTGTGTTCATAATCAACCTTCCTCTTCAATTCCTATTATTCCTCTTACATCGACTTTCAACCCTAAACTTCCTCCCTCGGCTTCCTCCTCAAGTGTCACCATAGCCAACGATTCTAGTGCTCAAAACTCTGTCTACTGGTCTACTGAAACCTCGCTCCAAACTACACATTGGAGCTTTCAACGTACGCACTCTATGTCAAATAGATCAGCAGGCTTCCTTGGCTAAAACCCTAGAGTCTCTTTCCATTGATGTATGCTGTGTCTCCGAAACACGCATACAGGATTCCAGTGTGGTCATTCACTTGACCTCACCTCGGCAAAACGGAGAGCCAACGAGATACACCCTCCGTGTATCTGGTGACCCGATGGCCAGTTCTCGTGGACTGGCAGGTGTAGGCATAGCACTAAGCATGAGGGCGGAACAAGCACTGCTAGAGTGGATCCCCGTCTATGTGCTGTTCGGTTAAACGGCTCCGTGAGAACTCGGAAGGATAGGGATACACGTCGTTGCCTTTTCGTCGTTTCTGCCTACGCTCCCACTGACTGCAGCTCAGATGAAGTGAAAGACGAATTTTACAGAAAGCTTTCTGAACTTCTTCAGAAAGCTAAACGCTCAGACATAGTACTCATAGGGGGTGACTTTAATGCTCAGATAGGTAGCTTAAACCAAACAGAAAGGCAATTAGGTGGATATTTTAGCATTCCGGCACAGCGAACAGATAATGGTGACCGTCTGCTGCAACTGTGCTCAGACAATCGCTTTTTTTAGCAAACACAAATTTTAAGCATAAGGAGAGACATCGTCTAACGTGGCGACCGCCTGCACCAAACCAACGATGGACTCAAATAGACCATATTGACTGACTGACTATCAGTTAAACATATAGATTATTGGTATATAAATACTAGGAGAATATTTCGGATAGTTAGTTAATTTTGGATGAAAAAATAGTCACCATGAGTATTGTACAATAATTGATTATTAAATAAAAACCCTGTTCTCTTCTGACGACCTCCAACTCCCTAGTATGAATATTGTGATTATCTATTCGCGATTTTCATAACATTCATGCCGTCATTAGTGTTCAAAACTGACGGCCAACAGTTCCTACCCCTTACCCAAATAACGATGGAACCCAAGTATGACTGTAGTTTGAAAAAAAGAAGAGAGCGGATAATAAATCCATATTGTGGCTGTATGTGCTAACAAGAATGTTTCGAAAGTGCATCATTAAAACAGAAGGCCCATGGATAGGATGAACTGCTGTTGGACAACCATAAACACCTCAAGATGTATTAACAACTGATCATGTTGAATAATATACTTAAGGAAACGTAAAGTACGTAGAAGGTACAAAATGAGAATACCAGATTTAACACTGACAAAAAACTAAAACACAAACAAAAAGAGAGAATTTATATAGTACGTTTATATGACCATTAGTTAGTCAATAAAAGCAAACACTAATACTGAGATATTTGGTAAAAATCAAGAAGTAATACTCCATTTAGATATTTGAAGATGAAAGTATGATAATTTCTTCCAGGTTGCCTGAAAATGAGTGAAATGACATTCCATTTAGATTCGCAGTAGCGTTTACAATACATGATGTAATTGCTTAACTCCACTATTCTGTTCGACTATAACCCCCAAAATATTAATTTTAGGTGATTTCTTTGGCAATCGATACAATTTACTAACTTGGACAATATTTAAGTAACGTTACATAGTAGTTGCACATTTGGAAAACACTCTTGATCCAAATCCAGATAACACTGAAATGAAAGTATCAGATACTGAACACTGTTCTCATCTATGTAGAGCGGGATATTCATAATTACATATTTAAACATTAATAAACTAACCTGCTTCACAGAGAGGGAAAAAACATGAGTATCAGAACATTGGTTTATCGCCTGAGTCAAAATATTCTCTACAATTGGAGATGATTGAGTACTACCAACCGAATTGGAAAACTCACTGTTAGCAGCCGGCATTTCCATGTAAAAATGATTTGTGCTAACTGGCATAAAAGTAGACGAACGTGTTGAATTTGCTGTATCTTGTACTCTAGCTGCATTAAAATCATCCTTTTGCAAATTTATAGGTCGGTAAGTATTGTTAGTATTCGGAAAGCGATATCCATTATATTTCAAAGTATTTGATATAACGTCATTATGTTGTGGGGACTGACTACAAAGATCTTGACTATAAACTGCCACACAAGAATCCATAAACTTAGGCGGAGTTTTTATCGTTTTATTTTTCACAGAAGGCATGGAATTCCAAGTACTGATTGGATGGACACTTGATTCTTTGATTGTATGTTTACGATGGCTGAAAGTTCTTTTAATTTTATTGGGATCATCAGTGACGTGAGTAAAACGAATCACTTTGTTGAACAAACTATCACCTGTTGAAACTTTGTTTGACGATCTTGATAACATGCCAGAAATACGTAACTTTTCTCTTGGGTTCTCTTCAACAAGGTTGAGCTTCTTATTACAATTTGATATCTGAGTTGAATTAGTAAAACAATCATCAAGTTGTGTTTCGAAGCTCAGTGCCTCTAAAGAACGGGATGTAGCCATGGACGAAATAATATTTGTGATATCCAAGGCCAGTTGTTCCGATGTCCTGAGTAAAAAGATAAGAACCACAAGGATTAATGAATATTATGATCATAAAACACATAAGATATTACTGGAATCATAGTAAACCAAGTAAATTGGTAAAAACCTCAAAAAATTCCGAACCACAATTTAATTTCCAACGGCTTACTTTGTGTAAGGCACTTCTGCACCTGAGTCTGGAACTTCTTCAGCATTTTCTTTTTCATTATAGGAAACTGAATTGCTTCTACTCACAAAGGTTGGGGTACTAGAAACTTCGAAAGTGATTGGGCTGGGTGTAGGTGAAGTTGATGGACTTATAAGGAATTCTTTGTATTGGTGAGATGACACAATGCTGTGAAATGGAGAACTGTCACTAGAGAGATTATTGTCAACTGTAAAACCACACATTAAATCTGGTATACTATGACAAGGATTTGCTCGAGGTATCTTCGGCTCACTAGAAGAACAGTGATGTGACATCCACACATGGTTATCTGATTCAGGTTTAGGTGTATTTCTAGGAGCCAGGGGCAGAGCTTCCACAAAATTTGAGAATGTGTCTTCCTGTAGGCTGTTAATAATTCCTGGACTATTACTTTGACTGGAACTCGTTGATATTTCACTTGATGGCTGAACACGATCTTCAAGGGTCGGTAAAGCTGAGTTAGAGACAATTTCCGGTAGTTTGAACAGATGGTCCAATACGAAAAAGTCCGTTTTAGGGTGATGAACAAATATAGCATCATGGTATTGGATTAGTGAAGTCATTATGTAATTTGTCAAGCCCTGATTCTTTAGAACCTTGAAGTTAATTGAAAACAATAGTTTGTAAAAACGAAATCTACAATAAACGTATTAGTTCATATCCATTATATTATGAATCAAACTAATACAAAAATGATTGATTCTTTATTATAATTCCATTATCAGGTCAACTTATATTATATTCGATAGAATAATAGTTATAGAATGAAACAAAAACAGCTAGACATTACAGGTTTTGAGGTGTCACAATTTTAAAAGAGTAACAAGTCATCATACTTTATAAATAACTAAAACTAATAACCAGTATAAGTGTAAAATTATGATGGTGGTTAACACAGCAGTAACTGAGATTTGTTATTCAAAGAAACATGGAAATTCCCTCAGACTAATGAAACATTAATTTCCAGATGGTGTTTAAATAACTCCAAACGATTGTTATATATATATATATATATATATATATATATATATATAAAGTTGAAACTGTTCGGCAAGACTTAGAGTTATTAAATCATATAGGGTTCTGGAAATTATGCGACTCAGTGGGTAGAGGTGTTATCGGCGCTTAATCACAGTAGCAGCCAGTAACAATCATGTTATCGTGGTCCGGTATATTCCTACGAAAATTATAGTGCACCTTGAAACTAAACGGTTTATGCTGTCTGTGTTTTTATGACTTTATTTTTTCGTAGTATCGCCCTTTTATTTTCTGCCACCTATTTATTTGCGTTCACACTTACCAGGCACTTTATGTTATGAGATGAGATTCTCTGATCTTTAAAAATATATGTGGACCGTTACTATGAATGGCATGAGCTTCACGAATCAACGTTACCGGTAAGCTGAGATATCCCTAAAGACATAATCAAGACATTTTGTAATAGAGCTAGTAAAAAAATTAACTAAATAGGGTCTATTTTAGTTATCTTTAATCCACAGATCAGAGTACCATAAAGTTTACAGAGAGTGACCGCGATAATTCACAAGTCTCTAAAAGAGTAAGTTGCAGCTTACATCAGATATCGTGTCCCACACCACACACCAACGTTTCTTGTATAGTTGCGTGACTAGCAACCACTCTATAGAGATTTTGACAAGACGTTTCTTTGGAATGGCAGACACTTTTGGATGAAATAATGGTCATCTAACAACCTATTTTTGTCATGTTGGCTGACAAGTGACATGCTATAAATGATTTAAATAATACAGCTATCCAAATCAACTTGTTTGATTACTAGTGGTAAGTCACATTGTGAAGCTGCAAAACAACATCAATTAGGACAGTCGAATTATGTATTATGATCACACTAAGCAAGACCAAGAAACGATAGCATTCACTGTTCATTTTGTGTTAAATACTAAATGATCCACTACTTTATTTGTATGCATTTTCCTCTTCAACTGCTTACTTCTTACTTTTTTTCTTCACCGATATAATATACAACAGTTTACTCATCCACAATAGTTCAATAATCTCACCCAATCTTCATTAAGTACGTACGCTACGGTTTGATTATGCTAGTAAATCTACAGCATATACAAATATTAACAATGTACACGGAGAAAAGCCGTCAATCATGTTTATATATATGTGAATAAACGTCAATACAAATACTTGTTTCTACACATAATGAAGTATTATTTAAAATGAAAACTTACCTGTAAGTCCAAACTGCAACGAAACACACAAGGACCAAAAATAATTCCTAAACTATTGCGCGACATTTTATTGACGGGTTCGTTTTCCGCAATCTTGTTCAAAAACTTACACAAATATTTTAAGAGTTCATAGTTTTCATGCGGCAGTGTAAATAATGCAGTTTGTAGTTTAAGTATGTACGCATTCAAGTCACTTGAATATTCTTTCGCAACCTGGAAACGACAAAGGTTGATAAAAAACAATGGATTTGGACTATTTCTTATAATTTAGTAGGGTTATATTTCTAATGGAAAGACTAATCTTTTGTTTTACTAAAAGTAACCTAAATTCGTCCAACATTTAGGGACATAACTGTAAAGATGACTGGAATTAGATCGAAAAATACTGTGAATTCTTAATCCACCACGTGGAATAATGCCAGAAATCAACGTAACAGGTTAATATTACAAATCGGAGTTAAAATGTGGTGGTAAGGTAGATCTAAGGTAATGGTACTTCACTCAACGAAATCTGTTTTTTTATAATCCACCATCAATTAAAGAACTATGAGTAGTGCCAGAGATAAGCCATTTTGTTATGGTGGTTTTAAATTGTAGAATTTTCAATGAACACAAGCGATAATCCCTCAATGATTTTTGCATTTTCCGAAATTTCTCTTAGTTATTGGTAAGGTTTGAATATATATGAATAATTTCTAAATGGTTCTATACGTTATATCGATATTGATGATAAATTGTATTAACACATTCAATATCGTAGACCACGAACAAACCTACCTGAGAGACATGAAGATGTCTTCATTCATACTGATGACCGTAATCCTTTGAATAAACACAGTATATAGTCAAATATTTCATACATGATATGAAAGAATTAAAACTAATGAAGTTTCATTCTATATTGCCTTCTAAACTGTATATAAAGCTATAGGGTGCACTCATGACAGCTAGTTAGTAAAATACTATATTGTAAGGCACAGCTACAAAGTGAAAAGAGATTTTAAAAAATATTTAAGTTGTACAGTGTGGTACTTCCATAGGCCAACAAGTGCAACAATACAAGACTCCATTACTGCTCTCCAAAATAATGTGGCCAGAATATTCATGATGTGATACCAAGAAAGACCGTCAAAACATAAATTACTAAATGACTGAAAAAAACTAAAACGTTATAAGATATATCGATATCCTCATAGTTAATTTAGATGGCAAACAGTTTGCCGGACTAAACATATAAGTGAGATAGCTTCACCGGCAATATTAAACAAAGCCCATTTACTATGATACAAATCAAAAGTACTAGGGTCGTGAGGTATGTTAAGTAAAATATATCACCTTTATACATTTAAGTCCAAGTTTTTCTGGAACAAGTCCATCAGGTAGTTCGCGAAGAAATAGCTTTAAAACACCCGCTAAAGCGTAAATATCAACATTTCTCAAAGAATATAGATCGTCGGCTGCCGATATCTGAAATGTAGTTTTGAACCCGTCAATTAACTTAGCACTCCCATTGATACGGAAAATTCCTTGTGAATTGAGCCCATATTGAAGCAAATAATCACAAATATTTTTTACAATTCGAGGCACTGGTTTTGTAGAATCTCTATCAAGCAGGACTTTTAATGGGACGCCAAAGTTGTCTTCAGATTGTACGAGTGTCTTCCGTTTAGACTTAGGGCTGGTATTTATTTTGCGAACAAATCGATCCATAGTACAAAAATCATGCAGTATTCCGAATCAGTTTCGAATAAGACTACAATATTATTCAGCTAAAGATGATTTTCAAGTCACCATCCTTCAAATCCCCGGAAGCAACGAACGTTTGATGGGTTACCTTGAGAATGAAGAACATCTGATTTGCGAGCCCCTATATAGAGTACAATAAAATGATTGTTAGAAACAACACAGAAACAATGGTTAAGTAACTGGATACTATAAAACCCCATTCATAAAATTACCAACCAAATAGATTTATGCAGTCAAAAACTCATAAGCTTTGTTTTGGTGACTACTAGTCTGTCAATTCACAATTATTTGGCGTAACCCTACAAATTCCAAATATATCTAGTGAAGAATAGACAATCACTTTTTTTTTCAAGAAATATTGGCTCAGTGCTGTCGGTATTCTCACAAAATCTCCAAAACGCAAAGTCACTGGGACTATTTCTATGCTTTAGATTTAGGTTTATTCTTAGACGAAATTCATCAAATTATTGTTTCAGACCATTTAAGAAATTCCCCAAAGATATGCTGCCGCATAGCCATTCGGAAGATATTTTGCTACACATGCTGATGTGACTGCTAGTGGCTAGATTTAGGATGTGTGTTCCCGCACCTATTCATGACACTAGAATACTAGACGTAATATAATATTGCGCACTTGTCTTTATTTGACTGCCTAACACATATTATCTTACGTCAGGATCAAATCCTACCCCACACGGACAGGCCTCATAGTAACAGCCGACAGTACTGTTAGCAAGATCCTATAAGTAATAATTCTTAGCCACCTGATTTAAGCTGTAACATATTCAGGCTGGTAATAGGATAATAAATTTAATGTGCAGATGTGCATGGCCACCACTCCCGTTTGGTTGAGTGGTGTGAATCACCTTGGGTCGTATATGCTCAACCGCAAGAATTATTTGAGGTGATGAGTAAGTGTTACCCATATATCCTTAAACACACAAATCTACCATCAGTTGATCCTACAGAATATGCATTTTGCCGACCAATACTAATACTCGACTTATTTGCTGTCCACGAACATACAGCATTTCAATCCTTTATCGAACATGGAACAGTCCTTCACAGGCCACCAAATTGGATCACTGCAATGCACCACTACGTAAAAAAGTGTACACTATGTCGTAAATCACGTTAGATAAAAATGACAGACGGCTGATTACAGGTTTAGAGAAGGTTAGAAAAACCTAACAAATGGTCGATAAATTATTGCGTAGCTTTAAGTTTTGGGCTTTAAGATATTTCAGCTTCACTCGTAAACAGGTGTTCTGGGATTTTAACAGAACGTTAATTTTGTTGCTGATCATTCTACCAAGCATAATTACGAGAGAGTATTTGGCAGCATTAACATTAAATAGTCGTGGTATATAACGGGCTGTCAAGCACCTTGTTGAAGGAACTGGTAGACAATTTAGAAACGCCAAACCTATAAAAGTACATAAGATACCACCCACACAAAAATACGCGAACAATACAGATACTCTGATCCCTGTGTATTAGTAAATAGTCAGACACAATCGGTTTCATGTCCACCATTAGAATCTATGTAGCCAACTATCCGTTTATCAGTCTATATATCTAAATAAACTTACATCTATCGATCACTAAATATAAATTCATTTACAAACGAAAGAAATTGCAACTTGCTACTTCAGTGAAAGCGTGTGCAGAATCAACCATCCATCTCTTGTGATTTATGGCAATATCGAGGCAATCCTCACAGGATGTACATATGTCAGTAACGGACTGATCAACCGCAGTCCTAAACCTCAGTGGGAAGATTCAAGCAACAAATACAAGACGAATCAACATATCACAAGGATAGAGAAATATCCAGATCAGTTTCGAAATATGTATGAATGTACTATTTCATCAATACTTGCTTAAGCTAGTTACCCCACAAGGAGGAGCATAGGTCGACCGCCCGAATTCCTTATCCAACTCTGTCTTTAGCAATCTCTTCCGGTTGATCTTGATTCTTTTGATGTGTGCTTCCTTGATTTTCCTCGTTTCCTTTTCCATTCAGTATCTCAAGTTAGCACTTGCCTCTTGATATGGTTTGGTGATTTCCGTAGTGTACGTCCTACTCACCTTATGCGTCCTTCCTTAAATTCCTCTTCAGCTGAAAGTTGGTTTGTCCTCTCACACAGTAGGATGCTATTGATGGCATTCAGTCTACGAACACTGAGTATTTTGCGTAAACAAATGTTTATAAATTATTTCACGTTTTGATGGTGGTTGTCGTAGTTCTACAGGTTTCAGCTCCATATAATAGAACTGTCTTCTTCGTACTGACGTTTCTGACTTGGATGTTGATTGACAGTTGTTTTGAGCCACGTATGTCCTTCAGTTGTAAAAATGCTGTCCTTGGTTTTCCAATCCATGCTTTCACATCTGCATAACATCCTGTCTAAACACCGACGATGCTGTTCAGGTACGTGAAAGTTTCCACATCTCCTAAAATTTCTCCATCAAGTGTAATTTAGCTCATGCCAGCTGTGTTGTATTTCAGTATTGCGCTCTTTTCTAGTGTATGTTGGGATCTACTGATAAAATAGCTTCTACTACACTGGCTGTCTTCACCTATATTTGTTGGTGTGTAAAGGATAGAAGAACTAGGTCATCTGCGATCATCTCTTTTCATCCAAGCTGTCCACTTTATCTCGTGCTTCAGAGGTCAAGGTCTACATAATCCAGTTGGCCGCTAAAATAAGGAGAGAGAGAGAGTAATCATCCTTTTCTCACATATGTCTTCACTTGTAATGCATCTGTACTGCAGTTCTCACATTTGCTCACATCTCTTTTATTTGATATCTTGACGAGATATCCTTCCTTTCAGTCTGTAGATACATGTCCCTCCTCCCAAATCTTCCTGAATGGAATATGGACCATGTTTGAAGTTACTTCTGTGTTTGGGTTCAATGTTTCAACCGATATGTTGTCAGGTTCTTCTACTTTCCCACTCTTGATATGTTTTATGGCCGTGTTGATTCCTTCGATCGTTTGTAGAGTGATATCAAAAGGAAGGTTTGTGCGTTCCGCTGCGATGTCCGTTGGGTTCAATGAAGTTGGTCTGTTTGAGAGTCTTTGGAAGTATTCTACCCACCTGTTCCTCTGTTCTTGAGTCTCAGTGATTGGTTTCTCTTCTTTGTTCCTGACTAATCGTTCTGATTTACTATATTTTCCAGTTTCAGTACTGTCGTTGATAGGCCTTCCACGCACTTCTGCTTGTCGACTCAAATGCTCTTTCTCACTCTCCTGTTTGCCTCTGTGTATTCGGTATAAGCCTTGACTCTCTTTGTTCTTGTTCGACTGTTATTAAATACTGCCTTTTTGTAATTCCTTCCTTGAAAGGTCACCAGGATATCAGAAGATATACAGTCTTTATGCTGGAGTTTCTGGCGACTTAACACTTCCCAGTATTTTGAAGCTAATGTCCTTAGAATTCTTTATTAGTTGTTTTCCGTAGTAATTTCCTCTTCTTTTAACATATATTGTGATGCTTGTAATCTATTATATCTAATAAAGATCCATTCGTTAAATACGCAGTTATCCACAAACATTATACTTTCTAAAAACCTTCTAAAGATATAACTATTTTGAAGCATTTGAATGTCATAAAGTTTAGTTGATCTTTATTGTAAATTCACAAACATAAAGTGGATTATATTTATCGAACTTGATATCAATACATTTTGTTACATTGTAATAGAAACAAATATTTTAAAAAGAACTACCATTTCATGACATCGGTTTGTGAGACCTGTAGGCTTGGTCAGGACATTGAGCCATGGGTTTTCGCGCACATGTTACATATTGTCGAGGACAAGCTGAAAATAGAACGCAATCAGAGTTTTATGCAAAAATGAGCTCTAAGGCCTTTTGCATTCGATTCACCCCCCTAAAGGACACCAGCATGTCCCAATTTATCCACGATTCAGGTTACATTCGTTCGCAATAAATTTTGCTTCCAGACAAACAGGAAAGGACGCCCTCGACCAAAACTATCCGCAAAACTTACCCAAATCGGACAAAATTTCCGCCGAAATAGGGAAAGTGGGAAGTTATGAAGCAAAAATCGATCCAATGTGCGCACTACAAAACAGAGAGAGCTAAATCAACATTCTTCGCAATGATTTTGTGGTTTTGCTGCAGCAAAAGACCACTTAAATATGAGAGCACCTGATATTCGTCAAACCCGATCGACACTCAACAAACCCACAGCATTTGAAATACGGAATGACCACCTCTTGTGAGACCGTTCAAGGTCGTTGAAACGGAACGGCGAGCAGCTTTGAAAGGGTTTGTGTGGTGTTTGAATTAACTAATGATTCTTTTGTACTTGTTGAATGCTCGATTTCGAATTCTAAATACAGTACATTCGTTGTGCCTGTGTCTTCTTAATTCAATTGCGTTAATCCTGGAATTCCTAATTCATACTATAATTAGAATACTATATTGGCGTCGCGATGGAGCCTGCAATGGAAAAGTTAGATATTCATTCAACTTCAGAAGCTTTTGAAGATTACTTTGAAAGGTTCGAAATCTGGGCTATGACCAAGGAAGATGATGAGGATGTTAATATTGTGGCACACTTCCTCACATTCATTGGAAAAGAAGCATACAGCTTATTAAGAACTCTGGCTATGCCGGAAAAACCCATTTCGCTTTCTTATACAGCTCTCAAGGATCTACTGCTAGACTATGCTCAGTATACAAATTTCAAATGTCGTAAAGGAGGAAGATTTCGTAAAATGATTCATGAGGATATAAAAAAGCCCACTACATTACTACGTCATCTCAACCTAGTGCATACTCAAGGTTATGCAGACAATTCATTGAATTTGGATGCAGTTCACGAGGATGGGGACAAGTTTGGTCAGTGTTTGTCCTGTTGCAAGTTCCACTCTTCTAATTCATGTAAATTTCATAATTCTAAATGCTTCAAATGTCGTGATATTGGA